CAATCAGACATCCACAGAACAAAAAAAAGAATCTAGATATAGACCTTACATCTTTCAAACAAAATTAACTCAAAATGGGCCATAGACCTAAATGTAAAACAAAAAACTACAAATATTGTAGAAGATAACATAGGAGAAAACCTAGAGGACCTTGGGTGTCACGATACCAACATGAAACACAATCCATGAAAGAAATAAATTGATTTAAATAATTTAACTAATCATTAAATTTAATGATTAATTTTAACTTATCAAAATTGAAAACAACCACTCTGTGAAAGACAACATCAAGAAAATGAAAGATACCCATAGACTGGACAAAAATATTTGCAAAAGACACATCTGATAAAGGACTGTTATCCCAAATATACAAAGAGCTCTTAAAGCTCAATAGAAATGGGAATGCAAACTGCTGCAGCCAGTCTGGAAAACAGAATGGAGGTTCCTCAAAAAATTAAAACTAGAACTACCCTACGATCCAGCAATTGCACTACTAGGTATTTATCGAAGGGATACAGGTGTGTTGTTTCAAAGGGGCACATATACCCCCTTTCACAGCAACACTATCGACAATAGCCAAAGTATGGAAAGAGCCCAAATGTCCATCGACGGATGAATGCATAAAGAAGATGTGGTATATATATACAATGGAGTATCACTTGGCAATCAAAAAGAATGAAATCTTGCCATTTGCAACTACGTGGATGGAACTAGAGGGTATTGTGCTAAGCGAAATTAGAGAAAGACAAATATCATAGGACTTAACTCATATGAGGAATTTAAGATACAAAACAGATGAACATAAGGGAAGGGAAGCAAAACTAATACAAAAACAAGGAAGGAGAGAAAATAAGAGACTCTTAAATACACAGAACAAACTAAGGGTTGCTGGAGGGGTTGTGGGTGGGGGGATGGGCTAAATGGGGAAGGGGCATTAAGGAAGACACTTGTTGGGATGAGCACTGGGTGTCATACATAGGGGACGAATCACTGCAATCTACTCCTGAAATCATTATTACACTATATGCTAATGAACTTGGATGTAAATTTGAAAATTAAATAAATAAATATATAAATAAATAAATAAATAAATAAATTCCATCAGTAAAATGAAAAACAAAAACAAAAAACCAAACCAAACCAAAGAAAAAGTTCAACAAAAAGATAACAAAAAGTGACCAAAGATCTTAAGAGACACCTCACCAAAGAAGATATATGGATAGTGAATAAGCATACGAAAAGATGCTGAACACCACGTCATCAGAGAAGTGCAAATTAAAACAAGACACCACTGCACACCTATCAGAGCAGCCCAATCCTGGAACACTGACAGCACTAAATGGTGGTGGGGGTAATGGGGCAACAGGAACTCCCATTTACTGCTGGTAGGAATGCAAAATGGCACAGCCACTTTGGAAGACAGTTTGGTGTTTTCTGACAAAACGAAACGTGATCTTACCACACCAGCCAGGAGTCATGCTCTTTGGTGTTTAGCCAAAGGAGTTGCACAGTTATGTTCACACAAAAACATGCACACAGATGTTTATAGTAGTTTTATTCTTCATTGTCAAAGCTTGGAAGCAACTAAAATATCCTTCAAAAGGTAAATGGGTAAACTGTGATATAAAACTATACAGACAAAGGGATTAATGGTTTCCAAGGAGTAGGTGGAGAGCATGGAAGATTTTTAGGGCAGTAGAAATGCTCTGTATACTATAATGATGGAAACGTGCCATTACACCTTTCTCCAAATCCACAGGATGTACAACAAGAATGAATTCTAAGTAGACTGTGGACTTTGGGTGATTGTGATATGTCAACGTAGGCTCATCCTCAGTGACAAATGTACTGTTCTGGTGAGGTAGGCAGGAGGTGTGGGGGAAACCTGCATCTTCCTCTCAATTTTCTTATAAACCTAAAACTACTCTAAAAAAATGAAATCTTTGAAAAAAATATATGTACGTTTCAAAATAACAAATTTTTAGCAATTGAAAAGAAGGGTGTGGCCAACTATAACACACGCTGTAAGTACATCAAAAAGATGAAGACCAAGAAATGACCTCTGAGGTTTAGAGGCACAAAGACTTCAACAGAAGCAGTTTTGAAAAAAAAGGTTTTCATATATTTACACAAGCACAAAAAACAAAGGTAACTAGAATAAAACAAAAGATGTGAAGGTCCTTTATGTAGGAAAATATAAATATGTATCAAAACATGTTAAGGAGAAACACATACTCTTTTTTTTTTTTTTTTTTTT